AAAATAAAAATAAAAATTTAAAAGACTTTTTAAATAATTAGAAAATTTTTAAAAAAAGGTACGAAAATTTAGTAAAAATTACGTAAATTTTAATAGTTACCATTCCAAAATTACGGAACGTTCTATAAGACGGAACAATTTCGAATAGGTAGAACGAATTTTTTTTATTAAAAAAAAAAAAACTTTTGGGGACCCACTAGAATCCGGATCCAGCCAATCAGATGGCTTAGAATCCTGGAACGTTCTGTCTCATAAAATGATTCCAATCTCAAAATGATTCCCTAAAACCCCCCACCACCGGTATGGTAGCTACCTACACCTCAAGAGTGCCCCTTGTCTTTTCGCGTATTTATTATAGAGTTTGATTCATGAATAGCTCTACTTCGCACACTACTGCGCCTATGTTTTAGGCGACGTCCATACAACCCACTTATTTGCGGATTCACAGTAACCACGCGTAACGGGTTACTTAGGTATGCTAACATCTTTAGCTTTCGCCGTCTGTCATCGTGATATGCCCTTTCCTTCTAGGGGGCCCTATTAGGTTGACACACTATTAACAGCATGTAACTAACGCTGTGGGAATTAGTATGGATGAGGATGGTTTCTTCATAGGAAGTTATACCCCCAACTCGGTATTTCATCATCACCTAGCTAGCTTCATATGGGGATTTATATTATATCCCTGAAGTCACCTCTCCATCTGGATCTACATCCGCCGGTTAACATATGCTCTACATTATGGCCGGCTTAGCTTAAGAGACATTTTGTCCCTGATCAACTGTCTCATTTAAAGCTTGAATGAGGACGCGGTTCGCATTACGGCATGCTACTAGGCTTCTCTCGACCATTTTGTTGTAGAGCATAGCGTCCGCAGCGGGCAGTTGACCCTTAAACCAGACGTTGGTTACTTCATCCCTTGTCGGTAGGTACGCGACGCAACACGCTGCAAATATCTTATGATATGAGGCAACATCCGGATCAAGGACGATGCTTGGCGGGCTCTTCTCGTCCTGGGCTGCTAAAGCCGCAACGCCTCCTGCGACAGTATCCACGCAGTCAATGCCAGCGTCCGCAATAGCCGCAGAGGCAACGGTTATACAGCCACTCAAGACATTCATCATGTCCCAACCTTCATCTCTATCGTAATCGGGAGAATCACGGTTCTGATCTCCTTCAATTATGGTGACGATGATATCGACGCCACTTTTAGGCCAACGATCCGCGATAATTGCGCCTCTTAATGCTGTTTCTAGATGGACTCCAAGATCCCTCTCGCTCGAATCGCGTAGGTAACCCCGTCTTTGTCTCGTCGCGAAAGGTGCATATTTAACGTGTGTCGAAAGGATGATGTGAGGGGAGAAAGGCGCTGACCGCGGAAGTGCTCGAGGTCCATGGACAGTGCAGGTAAGCTTCAAGCTCGAACCTGAAGGAAGTGTCGCAAATGGGTCTTCAATTTCCAGATATGCAGATCCTGAAGCTGAAGGAGTGACTCCTGTTTTCAGAACTATACACAATTCAAATTAGAGAGCTAATACGCACACGAAAGCGAAGCGACTTACAGATCTTTCGAACGGCATTATCGCCCGGACGTCTTGCTACCCTATTCCCTTGAGGCGTATCGTAGACGGGGGGGGTTGTTTGGCCTACTGGGCCATTAATTCGTCTCCGGTCAGCCATGGTGGGAAAGTTATAGCCCTCCTAAGTGTTTTGTTGCTAACAAGCTTCAGATGTCGCACTTCAATGAGCTTGCAGAAGGCTTAGTAGCACTGAAAATTCCATGCAACCTTGAGCGCAAACCTGCCCCACCACGCCCACTAACCCCGCGAATCCCTGCACTCTTCACCTGCTCGAAGCACAGACCAATCGGTCATTGATTTTCCGTTCTCCGAAGGTTTTTTTTGAACCTGACCTCAAAACCGAAATTTCTTTCTTCGCACCCTCTTAAAAAATGCAAAGCATGAACTTGATGCTCAACCACCCAATGTCTACAAGCATAGCCAGCCATGGTCGTCGTGCATTCACGATTTAGACTTTAGTAGCAGCCCTAAAGAGGTTTCGTATTTTACTGGACGATGATATGCAAGACGGCTTTACCTGGTAAATTCAAGTCTACCGTCGCTGATGGTTGGAATCTCGAACCCGGCCTTCGCAAATATTTTGGTAAGTTCCATTTACCTTCCTTTTCGGCCCCTAGACAGACTTTTCTTTCTTAGTAGGTCATTCTGCTACTGATGAATCCAATTCCACTGTTCTCCGCGATCACCTGAGCAACTGAACAAACATGCACTACCATCTGAAGCATGCATCAAACATTACAATTGTCATTATCTTTGGTTCTTTGGCTAATTGTCTTCGCAGAAAAATTGTACTCAGCGTCATGAAATCTAACAGCAATCGCGACTAGTAATATACAGTTAAGGTAAGCAGGCTCTAAAGTTTTCTTTCCCATTATTCTTGTCCATGATGAAACCTTTTTTTATCAGTTCTGCTTCTGAAGCGCTGTGATGATACCCATATACCAAAAAATTTATTCTGATTACATACCATCTATCTTCTTCTTGAGTCTTGGAAGTAGCACAAGCTAACAGAAGTAGTTCACAGTAAGGCCGTATCCTAGACTTAACTTCCGATATAGGTAGCCAGCCTACAACCATAGTATATATTAAATGTAAGTCACGATAGAATTCCTTACGTGGCGCGTTTTGTCATGATGAAAACTGTTTATCCATTCAACTATCTCACATCGAGTCGAGCCTCCCTCCCACACCATAGCCTATCCTTCTGGATATGCGAGGATTGGTTGTGGAGTTGTCCATTGGCAGCCCAGCTTTCTGCTCGGGTTTGTCGGATGTCATGATTGCTTCAGTGCTTTTGAATTCTGTGTTTCGTCTTGAGACATAGATTTCGAAGGCCGATTCGAGTGAATGAGTAAACTGGTTTGTCTGAACTCATTTACGCGCAAACTATCTAATTTGGAATATCGTGCATAGTCCCCGCTGACTTTTCTCAGCAATAGATCGTTGTTGAACCTATATAAGCCTATAGTTGCCCAACTGAGTTATCTATAATGTTCATCTCGTAGAGTTTTTATCCTCTAGACCACAGGGTAAGGCATATGATATGCATTTGAGGATATTATCATAGCGTGTCTGTTCTCGGTGCTACTTTGTTCCCTTTAGAAAACTTTGGTAGATGAAATATAAATCCTAAGTTATCTAAATTTCTATGATTTCTTGTGAATTACGAAAGGACTGGCTTGGTGGTTAGGGAAGATAAGGGCGTCCGCTACTATGACATTTTCCCTCCTACCAGCAGCAAATACGATAACCTCGGCAATATCATCAGGTGTCAGTGGCTCGCCTCCACTAGTTGCAATATTAGTATCTACATATATGTATGATATGGTTGTTCAAAGAAATATGACTACTTACGCATAGACAGCATCAGCCTTGCTCTTGTCGCCGTGGAATCGAACAAGGGAGAATTCCTAGGAGATTGTCGTATTAGCGTCAGGATGGCCATATGTACTATGTATGTACTATCATCATTAAGTAGAAGGGGATATTTAACATACGGTCTCGACTTGGCCGGGATCGATCTCGATAACACGGACGCGCGAAGCGACAAGCTCCTTGCGTAAGGAGTCAGTGAAGCTGCGGACGGCAGCCTTGGTCGCGCAGTAAATGCCGCCACCCGGGTAAGGCTCGCGGCCGGCGATGCTACCAACGTTGATAATGTCGCCGTGGCCACCGTCGGGCCGCTTAAGGAAGATGGGCAGTACAGCTTGGGTCAGGTTGATCAGGCCTGTGACGTTGGTCGCAAACATGACATTGATGTCCTCCTCGGCGATCTCAGGGGCGCGTGCTACGCCTTTGACGAGGCCGCTAGTTATATGGCGGTTAGTTAATGGGCCCAAGGTTGCTCTTATATCAAATCCTGAACATGCCATCCGCGTTCATCTCTCCTTTTTATTCTTAGACCTTGAATCTAACCCCGGTCTTACTCTGTGGACGTCCCTCGTTCCAAAATGAAAGCAGGCACTTACGCATTATTCACCAGCACGTCGATATTCCGGAACTCCTCGGGCAGGCCGGCAACAAAGCCGCGGACCTCGTCGGCATTGCTCACATCGAGCTTAACGGGCAATACGCGGACGCCAGTGCCAACCTCCTTTGCGATATCGTCGGCGAGCTGGCGCAGATTCTCGATACGGCGCGCCGTGACAACGAGCTTCAGGTCCTGGGGCGAGGTTCGCGCAAACTCGAGCGCAGTACTACGTCCGATGCCCGACGACGCACCAGTAATCACGATGGTCTTGCCCTCAAGGCGCTTTGCTACAGCTGAGGACATGGCGCTTCTCCTGACGAGGCTTATGTGGTGGTTGCAGAGAGGTTGTAAGAGAGTTGGTCTTGGAGAAGACGAGAGTGTGAAGCGTCCTAGGTGCCGAAGCGTAGAGAGACCTGTTCGCAGGATGGGCATAAGGCAGTCTCTCGAGTAGAAACGTGAAGGGGAATAGGAAAAGGTGCGAGCTTTCTGAAGTGGACTAGCTATAAGAGAATACCACGGTGTAAGTGCGGCAAGGTGCCGAATAGTAGCGATGATGTGCTCAACCCCACCATATTTAGTCCCTGTTGCCCCGCCGTTACAGCTTCCGTATCGGAACCCCTCGGTTGAGCTAACGCCGTCCTTTATGTCAGTTGGCTACCTAAGCTTCGAAATTTTACATTGTAGAATTTGAGCGCATCTCTGTATTATATAGCATTGTTCTCAAACAGAAGCAATTCAGCCATCGTTGATCTGTAGTAAAAAGGCACGCTTTATTTATTCATCGAATATGTAAAGCATGACAAATGTAAAGACGCAAAACTTTTGTGAATAACTGCTTTCCAAACAGAAGAATTATTATTGACTTAATATTGTATATTAAAATTCAAGGTTGACCAAATCACGCACCTTGAAATCAGGGGAATTATGCAAAAAGTTAATTAATGTTTGATAGGCCCCGCCGAGGATTGAACTCAGGTCTCAGGAAGTTTTGTACGAATCAAAATCCTGCGTGCTAACCACTACACTACGCGGCCGATGAAAACCGGTTTCTAAAGCGCGATTATGTACTACCTGTAAGGCCTTACGTAATTCAGAGCTTCCTCACAGTTTCAACAGCTCCACTGGCGCCTCAAGACTATCGACAAGAACAATCAAATATTATCTCCCCCGAGAGGCCTTGATTTTCCAGCGTACTGATGGGATAATCAATATATTTCAAAGTCCTCTCTGCGTACACTTAGACTATTGTAGCCTCATGGGTTCCTGGTTACCGTTTTGTAAGGCATCATCATGGCATACGACTAACTTATGTGAGGAATCACTAGAGTCTAGCATTAATACAGGAGGGGAGAAAGGGGCATACTCTCCCTTCCCGAGAGGTAGGCTCGCGAAACTAGATCGGCAATGAAGTATGTTGCAAGGTACTAGTTTACCGAATAAAAGATAGCGGGACTAAAGAAAGTATCCAGTGATAGAAAAATATATACCTAGATTGATCTATTTACAGATGTGGCCGTATATACGGTAAGAACGGAATTGGAGAAACAAGCTAATACACCGTAGCTACGAGTGTTAACAACTCTTTACACGATGATGAAGACACGGCTAAGATACGTAGCTTGCGCTGATATATCAAGAGACAAGAAACAGCATATGAGAGAACTTCCCGTCGGTATTTTGACATACCCAACATCTTGAATTACTCCTGCTAAGCGGACCGGTGACCTTCGGCGCTGGCACTCCGGAGCTGTTTACGCCTGGGGCCGGCTTGGCGGTGTGCGGGCGAAGTTCTTGGCCAACAAGTACGACGTTATCGTTATGAACCTCCGGCTTGGCGGCAAGGCGTAGTTTAGGGAGATGTTCGGTGCGGTCGGCGAGCAAGTGTATATTTACTATCCACGGCACGGGTTGGGAGTTACGGGGCTTCAGCAGATCATGAAGTTTGGGGAAGGATGAGTTAAGTAGATAGTTTGAGTAGCTAATCTTACCGGGTTGATACGCAGATGCGGTTCTAACTAATCCTATAATAGACGAATGTATCGTTATATCTTTTCTACTTTGAAATTTCATCTTCGTCTTACTTCTGAGACTCCAAGCTCTCACCGTCTTTCTTTGCTATCGAGGCCCGTCACAAGGCAATTATATATAAATCATTCTAGGACTAAATAGGCCATATTTAGTCGAAACGGGTTCTTGTTCAATCATGAACGGATAGTTATAATGTCAGCACAGAGAGAATGTATGTATATATTTCCCAGCTATATCTCCGTCAGCATGATCTCTTATTGCTAACCAACTTAAGCTAAGTGCCTAGGTAGGTATACTGCAATCATATTTCGCGAATCACAATCTCAACTAAAAAACCCCGAGATTCCGAGTTGGCACATGGATGCATGTCAGCCAAAGCCAAATATGATATCCGAGCGCTCGTTTTCTGCCGTATTTCCGTGTCACTCCTATGTCTTCAGAGATTAGTAAACGGGCTAGCCTGGTATAATCCGGCAATCTTTTTCCGGGAAGTCCTATAATGAAATGTGGTTGAGTACTTTCGGCGTAGCTCGGAATCGCTAGGGCTGAGGCTGCAGACAAGAAACCTTAACGAGGTATTCTCCAGCGGTCCAGATTCGGCATCTTCCAGTGGCAGGGCAAAGGCCTCGCCGGGTGACCCATTGCATTTGCGACCGATGGGGTCTTTTTGGGGAAAGGGGCTGGGCCACCACCATGCGCGCGTCGTTAACGATGCTGGATACTATGCCGCTAGAGCGGGAATAACCATATTCAAGGGCATACTAACCTGGATAGTAGGGGCGTTGAGCGATGCCGATGATAATGAAATTGATTATGTGTACACCGATGAAGGTTTGAATAATATCCATCAAGGGGGATCGAATATAAAAGTCGAGGAGATTCCCCTTCTCTAAACAATTTATGAATCACCTTCCAGAGACGACAAGTAATCCTAGGCCACCACAAACCTCCTATTAATCCTCTAGCCGTATCAACCTTTACCAGTAATATATATAATTTCTCAAGATGAAGTACTCAAAGACACTTGCGGGCGCTGGACTATTCCATCTCGCCCTTGGCCTTCCAAGGCCTCAGTAAGTAGCATCTGGAACGTCTTAGAGGATAGCACTAATACTTTGTTATAGGATAACATATGAGGAGAATAAAGGGGATATTGGTGGTATCGACCCTCCTATTCCAACTTACAGCGGTGCACCCGTAGGCAACCTGCGCGGCTCGACGAACCTTCAAGGAGGCATCGCGTCGCGCCCACCTGCCGATGGGGGCGACTCGGCCGTTGTGAAGGATCCGCAGCTCGTGGGTGGCCAGGAAGCCGATGCCAAACTTGGTCTCTATCTCGACTTCAACAGTGCCGACTATCCCAATGGCCCGCAGCCTATTCGTGGTGGCCTGGGAGAAACTGACCCTGGGCCACGCACGTACGAGTATGAGAAGCTGAATCCCGATACCTACGCTCCACCTTCTACAGATCAAGGCACCGTGCCCCAAGCTATGTGGCCTCTTGGTCTAAGTCACAACCTATTAGGCTCGGGCGAGGAGTCCGGCTGGGCTCGGCAGCAGAACCAAGACGTACTGCCTGTGGCTGCTCAGATGGCGGGCGTCGATATGCGTCTTGCACCGAATGCGTATCGAGAGCTGCACTGGCATACTTCTGGTGAATGGTATGGGAGCCCTCTGCTTGTCTTTCGACTCTTACCTAAGACCCCAAGCTGACATCTTGACCTGTAACTAGGGCCCTTGTCTTGAAAGGTTCGGTTCGCGTAGCCGCCATCGACACTGACGGGGCCTCCTTTGTCGACGATGTTACGGCTGGCGATGTCTGGTTCTTTCCACAGGGTGTCCCTCACAGTTTACAGGCCTTACATGAAGGTGCTGAATTCTTGTTGATCTTCGACAGCGGTACCTTCTCCGAGACGGACACTTTCCTTGCTACCGAGATGCTTATGCGCACACCCGTATCTGTCTGGGCCAAGGATCTCCAGACCGACGTCAGCTCGTTTGATAACATTCCCGACGCAGAGAAATATGTGAGTTTCGATTCTAGTCTCAAAATATCTGGGATCGCCGGAATAAAGCTAACCAAGTACGACAGATCTTCAACGGCACCCCTGCCCCAGCCAACATCTCAGAGCAGAACATCACGTCTTCAGCTGGCGCTCTCTGGGGCCCTTCAGGATACACTTACCACTGGTCGCAACAGGAATTCCACAACACCACCGGCGGATCCGTCAAGATCCTAGACCCGATAACCTTCCCCGTAGCAGACATGTTCTCCGCCGCGCTCGTCGTCCTCGAGCCCGGCGCCATGCGCGAGGTACACTGGCACACCGAGAGCGACGAATGGTCGTACTTCCTCCAAGGCTCCGCGCGCATCACCATCTACGAAGCCCCCGCCGCCTCGCAGACCTTCGACTTCACCGCCGGCGACGTCGGCTACATCCAGAAGTCGGCCGGCCACTACGTCGAAAACACGGGCACCGAAGACGTCATATTCCTCGAGGTGTTGCAGGCCAAGAAGTTTTCCGACATCAGCGCTGCTCAGTGGCTCGCGCTGACGCCGCGCCAGATTATCAAGGACACCCTTAACCTGTCGGATGCTGTGCTGGATGCTATACCTAAAGACAAGACCCTCATCAAGCCTGGGAATCCGAATATGACTGCTATCGCGGGTGGCGGCCAGAACTTTTAGGGTGTCGAGAAGAACGACATTTTAAATACAGATGTGAGCCTTTTTAGAAAAGGAGTGCGTGGTCCAGTAAAGGAGGCATTTAATAGTTGAATGTTGAGAATGTTGAGAAGGGTGGCTGATCACTAGTCGATCGATCATATAGACGTTGGAAATTATATATTCATGTTAATATATCAGCGTGTTGTTTTTTAATCGAACGCAACTTATCTAGGTAGGTACCTGTATGTTAAATCCTAACCGCCACACTATACAGTGATGGCACTGGTACATTGCATGATTGGGACTGAATAGCTTCAAAGCACGGGGCCTGCGGTTGGCCAGTACCTGAAACGTCAAGCAGCAGGAACCCGGGCAACAAGGTACATCCACCAAAGTACCTAGGTACCCACGAAATAAAAGTTATATGTCCTAATTGCAAACCAACTTTCAACCGACGCCCCTCGCTTGGGCGACTTGAGGCCAGAGAAAACCCCACTGTGGTGTCTTATGCTGAACCGTTCTTCCCAAGAGCGTGACTTGACAGCAGATACCTAACGAAGCCGGTTTTTCGTAGGTCTTGGGTTCGAATCCCCTGCCCCTATCCGAGGGGATTCGAACCTGGGACTGAGCTTTTTTACTTTTTTATTTTTTTTTGCAATTGCTTTTTTGTTTCTCTTTCTCTTTTTCTCTTTTTCTCTTTTTATTTTTTTCTTTATTCTTATTTTCATTGCATCTTTTTTTCTTTTCTCCCTATCCTTCCTGACCCTGCTCTCTATTCATTCGCTTCCGTTCACTTCCTGAGGAAGTCTGCTCAAACACTAGCTAGCCCTGGATCTTACCAAATAACCCAGCCAAAGTCGCAAACTTAATAGAGAGGGTGCTAATAGGATACATAGCAAGGTTCCAGACATCAGCTCCCCAACTATTGGTGTCGAAGATGGCGGCCCACCCGCGAGGGTCATTTTCGGCCATTGTCGAAAAAAGACCAGCCCAGTGCGTAAGGTCAGCAATTATCAAGATCCCGATGTGTAGTTGCAGCAGGCGCTTATTAGGCGGTGACGCAAGGAGAATGACTAGACCGTATAGCATCATATTAAGAAGGTAGCCCGTTGCCATCGATGGCATAATTAGAGATGGTATAGGTAGACCATTTTGTGCGTTAGATGAAAGTTCAAATATGGGATGACGCGAGGCATAATTTGAAAGCATGCCGTATGTTCTATACGTGTTAATCATCGGTGTCTTATAAAATATAAAAGAATTAGAAGACATACATTGCAACTGGTTCTAGATAGAGGAAGAATATGCGGGGAATGGTCGGGAGAAGAGACGCAGTTG